CATTTTATATATCACTCTAAATGTGCGATCTTAATGACTTTTCAACTTTCATTAAAAATATGATATACGAAAATTATTTGAATGGACTAACAAAAAATGAAACATAGTTCTTCAGTAGCATACTTTTATTATGTTTTAGTGGTCTAAATCGAATGATTGATACATGTTCACCTAATTATGAGGTATCAACGATTCATATATAGTCTTTTATTGATAATGAAAAGATTTATGATAATTGATACATAGCTTTCTCTATCCCTTTTAAAACCGTTACAAACTAATGATCGTATGTTCAGTTTCTATCTTTTGAAACTTTTCTCTTAAAAGAACAAGAAGATTACAAGAAAACAACAATTTTGTCTATAAAAAATGAATATAATACTATTTTATATATCAAATACACGTATAACTTTAAGTTGACAATAAAAGAAAAATAGTTGTTTTAATATTACACAGACATTTCTTGAAAAAAACAAGTTATTATTAATCAAACAGTGGGTGCAAGTATCCGACGCAGTACTGAATCATTTTGACATCTAATTAAAAAGTAATAAGAAAATAAGAAGAAAAAACATCGATTAATTATATACCCAGCAATAAATTCTTGTTTGTTCAATTTCTTATCACCACTCATATCAAGTTTGGCAATAATATCAGCAGCACGTTTCTTTGGAGCACGATTGCCTTTACGATCGTGTTCACCAACAAGATCATACTGAAAAACAAATATGTCATGGTAAGTAAAAGAATTATAGAATAATAAAATTCTTACTAGAGCTGATATCAAAGTACTTAGTTCTTTATGATCAATTTCACCATCTCTCGAAATATCATATCTAAAATATCAAAAGAGCGTTAGAAAAAAAAATTCTAAATTATGTACTTACATATCAAATGCAGCTGCAAGTCGTTTGTTAAGATCACGCTGTGTCAATGCAGCAATTTGTAAAAGATATTCAACAAAATCAATTTTACCATCATTATTAATATCAACCGCAGCAAATACATATCTATATAAATAAATAAATTGAATGAAAATAAAGTATAGAGACATACTTGCAAAAAGGTTTAACATTGCCTTGTGGATAAAACTGTTTATAAACACTGATCAATTGACTTTTATGAAGTTTACCATTTGGGCAATCTTTTAAAAAACCCTATAAAGACTGAAACGTAAATAAAATGAAAATGAATGTATGGTATGAACTTACAGAATGCCACTCTCGAATTTCTAAACAAAAATTTAAAAAATAGATTAGAATTGAGAATATTATAAAATATATTAAATACGGTACCTTTTTCAGTAAATTTAGTTTTTTCTTTAAGTAAAGCTATTTCTGTAAATGAAAAATATTATTAAAACCACAAGAAATAAAAAAAAGAAAGAAATACAAACGTTCTGTTGTAAGTCCTATGTATATTTTTGATTTTTTTGAACTTGTACATCCCATATTTGAAGCTGAAAATCTAAAAGATCAATCAAATGAAATATATACTAAACAATTTTATTTATATGATCGAGAGACAAACTAAGGATTACTTAGAAAAATACAAAGATAAGGAACAAAGTACAAGAAATAAAAAGTAGAAGAGGTCAATAAGCACATGGAATGTATGTGTGTCGTCATGATCATACGCCTACATACAAGATAAAAGATTTCATGTTATGATATTTTTTCCCACGCTATCTAACATCCCTAGAATATAACATAATAAACCTAACGTTTGATTAAAGAATTGTAGAGATTATTCTACAATTTGTCTCGAAAGAATTTCAAAAATCTATTTATAAATAGATACTCTACAACATACTTCTGTTAACTAAACAATACTGGAGGAGATCACTAGTAAGAGTCAAGAGTTGTGAGCGAAATTCGAGGCATGTCAATATTTTCGAGTAATATAAAAGGAAAAATAAATGAAATAATAAAAATATATTAAAAAATCAGATCGTAATCTAGATCGATGAGTAATGATGAAGCGCAAATGTACATGAACAGATGGCGGTTTGAGTCATATTTCCTTGATATGATTGAAAATTATACCAGGATAGTGTAGTCAATAACCTTTGGTGTTCGAGACGTCGTTACCGCAGGTTTAAATTACAAAAAGAACGAAGAACGAGCAGAAAAATATTCCAATCGCACTCATAACACAATCAAATGACGTCAGTATAAAAAAAGAAAGCCTAAACAGAAAATGTAGTAAGACAATATGCGATTCCTCGAGTCGTCATATGTTCTACCATTTCTTTTTCTCAAATAACAAGGTAATACATGAAAAAGATAAAAACATGAAATAAAACAGATTTTTCATTTATTAATTGTTTTATTTTCACTTTCTTGTTGCCTCGTTCTTATCAAAACAATAATAACTTTCGAATGAGATATGGTCCGATGTAAAAAACAAGGCTTTATCTTCAACGAATAACTTGAAATTATATGTATATGCATATATTACAGCATGTTTGTTTCAAAAAAGTGAAGTAAAAAGGTTACGACACTCGGTATTCCCAGGCGGTCACCCATCCAAGTACTAACCGAGCCCGACGTTGCTTAACTTCAGTGATCGGACGAGAACTGGTGTATTCAACGTGGTATGGCCGTAACCGAAAGCTTTTTTATTATATTTCATTCTGAATATTCATTTTCAATAGCTATTCTTTGATCATTTTATATTTCATTGTAAAGCATAATTGAATGAATATTATTACAATATAATTTCTTCTTTTCAAAAAAAGAACTAAATTATATAACAAGATTTGATAATTCAATTTCAGCATTGACATCAAAGAAGGTATTACAAGCTTGTAGACGAAGTTCGGCTTTCATTGCTTTACATTGTTTTATTTCTGAATTCATTTTATATCGTGAGATCAT